CCCAGAGCAAGAAAGTGCTGTACAGCAGGTTCAAACCATAAAACAGTCTATGCTGCCGCTTTGGATTATATGATCCTGCAGATACAAGGTTGCTGGAGGAATCCATCAGGGATAAAGATTCTGTAGGGAGTCTGTGAAAGCTCTAATAGAAGGGTTGCAGGGAGAACCCCTAGGATTCTGGAGTAAGGCCATACTCACCATTTGAACAAAAAGGTCCTGATGTGTCACTGGCCCTAGCAGTGACTGAGCATCTGACCACTGGATGCCAGGTAGCTATGTGTCTTAAGCTAGACGTTATCAGACAGGCACAGCAGCAATCCAATATGATGGAGGTGGTACATTCAGTCCTGGGCTCAAAGAGTCCAGAGGAATGAGTAAATCCAATGAACAGGCAGTTCAGACTCCCATGGCACCTAAATATGTTGATCTGACACCTCTACTTTAACCCGTACCTATGGCCTCACGGAGGATTCTCTGCAGCCAACTGATAAAGAAGGAAAGGAATTAAATCCATTTCACAGATAGGTCAATGAGATATTTTGGCACCAGCTAGAAATGGACTACTCTATTATGGCCGCAGTTGGTGTGGCCTGTGGGGCGTGGGGGAGGGCCGCTGCAGGGAACATGGCGCTCTGGGATCTAAGGGTTGCCGTCCAGGGGCCAGCTGAGATGGGAGCAGGGGCTCTGAATCCCGCAGAGCCCGACCCCGGGATGTCACAGATGGGGGAAATAAACACAAGTCGTTGCAGACACTTCTCTGTTTGCCAGGAGAGGGGACGCGGCACATCCCACTAGTGGGGAAGGCACAGGGTCCCTTTGTTCAAAGGCTTTTATTGAAAAGGTTATCAGTGGGGCTAGGTAACAGGAATGCACAAGTTATCTCATTACATCAGTATGTTAATGTTTACAGAGAATAGGTGATGTTACGAAGAAAACAAATGGCAGGAACACACCAATTCACATGGGTCTGAGAGGAGACTAGTAAACAAGAGAGAGGACTAAACAGGAGAGCATAGTAAACATAAGAGCACCTAAGGGTATAGGGTTAGGGTCTGTGAATAATGTAAATTTCCTTCCCAGCATGAGCTGGCTATAGCTTCTGAGGGAAAAACAAAGCTTACTTTAAAGAATTTGCTTTTAGTCCTGATTTCCCTGGGAACCGCCAGATCTGGTTTAGGACTGTCTCTGGTATTGTTTTGAGCCTGAGCCAGGCAGCGTGAGGGAACCAAGAGACAGGGAGACTTCTTTCGGACAGAATGGGGACTCTGGCCACGTCTAAGCCGAGCCGAGGGGTGTGGGCCTTTTTGCCCTTTTTCCATGTCCCCCAATTTCTTGTCTGCTTCCCATACCGGTTGATGTCTGGCTTAGGTTGTTATCTCCATAGGAGAAAACTTACCCGTTATCACCCAGCGACCATCACAGGGCTAAGCAGAGAAGCAGGGGCTACACCCCTGCCAGCGGGGACAGGTTATGTCTCCTCAGTGGCCTGTTTCTCCAAGGCCTCCCTGATTATTTCCAGCCTTGGAGCCCCCCCGTCTGTCAGCGGGGTTACAGTTCCTGAAACCAGACAGGGCATTTCCCAACATTTGGGGGTAGCACTGAAGGTCAGTGGTAAATCCTCCCTGGAGTCAGAACTATGAGCAGTATACTTTGTCATACCCTTTGCATACACAAAAAGATGGACTGAGGTTCAGATATGCACTAATTCCTGATAAGTGGCAAATGATTTGGCTGGCTGATCAAGAGCATGGAAGAGCAAAATTGAAATTTTGAAAATAAGCAGGTCTGGATAAGGGGACTAGTGGATGCAGCTATAGGAGTGGGCAAAAAGCATGCAGATCTTTGTGTCCTACACCGATGCTCACCAGAGACCATCCACCGCAGGAAAAAGCTCTCCAGCCAGATGGTCAGATGTCCTATCCTATGGATGTCAACTAACCTCTAAACTTAGCTACTCTATTGTCTTGCAAAAGACCCATAAAAGAGTGGCAATGGTGGCAATGAATGGACCCAACAAGCTGGGCTCCCTCTCACCAAGGCTGATCTAGCAACTGCCAGCAAAGAGCTAACCAGCCAGCAGCAGGCAGCAGTTTAGCGACGTTGGTCAGGGAGAGCAGGCAGCCACCCCATGACGGGTCATTTATATCAGGCTCCCTTCCACATTGGGGAAGGCAATGACTCATCCCTATTGGAAGTTGCATTTCTTACCCATAGTGCTCCCACAAGCATCACCATCCAAAGGCTTAAAAAACACTCAGTCCATTACCTAGGGCCAGACGACCCATTTTATGGCAAAGGATGTATGGCCACAAGAACATGGGCTTTACTGGTCCTGAGGCAGGAGATAGTCAGGAAGGAGGAAACTCCAGAGGAGCCCCAGGACTAAGACAAAGGACATCAATACAAGACAGAGAAGACAGAGACCCTGTTCAAAGACCGGTTGCCAGCCCTTTTGCAGAAAGGCAAGGTTGACCCCTGCCTTTCTGGAAAAGTGCTGAATCACAGTGAATCATGACTGTACCTGCGCAGGTGATACTGCATGACCCCTCCTTCATTATAACAGCATTATTATAAATTAGCATCGTGGGACCCCTCCTGCTCTGGTAATCAATCAAGGAAAATCATGGGAGACTGCCTGTGCAGTAGCTTAAAAGTAACATAACTAGTTGCACATGCACAATAAAAGCCGGCCAAAACTAGCCAGGAAATATCTGCCCTATGAGAACAGAAGCCCTCTAGCCACTGAGGGCTGATTTCTGCTTGGACTTGGCCCGCTCCCATGTTCTGCAGAGTGTACTATCGCTTAATAAATCTGCTCTCTCTCTTTCTGCTATAAACTCTCTGTGTGTTCAGTTCAATGTATTGGTCACGATCACTAAGAACCTGGTTACATGTGCATATATGCCCATCACCCAGCAGTAGGCAGCTTGAGAGAACAATGGTATAGAATGACTTCATTTCCACAAGCTTTAATCTCCTCTGGATTATAAACAGTCTATGGTAGGGGAGAGAACATGTGGCCAACAGGGTATATGAGAAAACCAAGGCTCACAGGGGCTGGTGACTTGCTGAAGACCACACAGTTAATAAATGGCAGAAGCAGGACTAAAACTTGCCCACAGGATGGAAGCTGACTACATGAAGAGGTGCTTTGGAAATTGCCTTGCCCAGGTACTGGCAGAGGTGTCTAAGGTTTGGCCCAGAGACCCCATAGAGTAACTGGCTCACTGGCTTTATCATTACAGGAAAATCACTGAAGCAAAAGAAGAGCCACTGATACCGGTAGCTAGTTCCACAAAGAAGACTATATTCATGCAAGACCCCTTGAAAAGCCTTGAAGCAAAAATCCCTACCAGGTACTTCCAGTATGATTCCAGAAATGCCTCAACAGAGTCCTTCTTCTGACTCATCTGGCCAGTCTGCCTGGAATATCAAAACTCCATGAGAAATACCATATTATGCCATGTATAACGCGCACATTTTTTGCTCAAATTTTTGAGGGAAAAATAAGGATGCACATTATACATGGGTAGTACTAATTCCGTATCTGTAAAATGACTTTTATTCTTTTATTTATACTTGTGCATTAAAAGTGTAACTCTAGAAAGTAAAAACGATGTCCGTATGCAAAATAATATCCTGGAATACAATAACTGGTTTTGTTTCTAAATATAAATTAAAATGAAAGATTTTTTTCCCCTGAAAATTTGGGCCAAAAACATGGGTGTACATTATACACAGCAAAATACGGTAAATTACTTTCTGTATTAAAGTGCTCCTGAAATGCATCCTGGCTCCAAATCTCTTTCTTAGGTAATCAGAAGATGAATGATTCCCATGATGCCTCCCTCAAAGCTGCAAGCCGAGAAAATGGCTATCTAGAAGAGCTCTAAACTAAAGATGGTAACTATGTTGATTAAACCAAGAGTTGAGAAGTTGTGGAAGGTGTCTCTAGGGATTTTCCAGCCCAAGTCCTGTTCTGGTAGCCATGAGAATTCCTTAATCATGTGAAAATGTGAACCAGTTATAGGATAAAATAAACTCATAATATGGATTTAAAATAATTTTTAAAAAACAGTATATGGTACTTCACAAAACTATTGTGAGACTGGAAAGATCATACACATAGAGCACTCTGCACAGGTCCTGGCATGCAGCAAGTGTTCAAAAAATGGTAGGTATTATTGGTTTTTTTAGATGTTTTTTTAGATTTTATATTCTGAAAATGCTAAAAAGAAAAAGCGAACCAATGCTCACTAAATTGCAAAGCAAATTAAAGGTCAGCAGCAACAGAAGTCCAGGAGAGTTACTATGACAGAATGACAATACCATGGAGCTAGCTACCATTACCTTATAGCATTTAAGAACAGAGTTTGTTATGGTTCACATTAAAATAATATGTACTACTTCATAACCGCCCCACCCCCCAAATTTAGACTGAATACAAACTGGGCTCCTCCTCAGTTAAAAAAATAAAATAAAACACAGTTATTTTTCTTCCAAGACAAATCTTGAAAACAAAAGGGTATTTTAATTATAAATGTCTCCTATTGTCTGATGACCCATCCATAATAACTAAGAGTTAAGAGATTCCAGGCAACTTTGACATTTAATGAAATTTTATCAGCAGATTATAATCCAAAAAAAGATTTCTGAACACCATCACTGGTGTTCATCATTGGTGTTGGATTATGTCATTTACATCATAATCCAACACTAAGAGCAACAAAAATAGGTGGTGTGGGAAATGGTAGGTATTATTATTAATTGAATTGCAAAAGGTCTCTCTCTGGGCCCCAAGAACTGGTTGCTGGGTTTCACTAAGTACAGCAGAGCCGTGGACCCCACCCACTGTAGTGTGACCCGCTTTGAATGTTCAAAATTCCCCCTTGGAATTACACTTTTCTGCCACCAGGGAAAGCAGAGAGGCTGTTACTGAGCAGAGACGGAGGAGAAAACAGAACTCTGCAGACTCTGGGAAATGGAAACTCCAGAGATTCGCCAGCCACGGGGGCAGGAGGAGTGGAATAGAGGAGGGGCAATTGGAATGGGATTACAAAAACAGCCTGCAGCCTGAGAGAGCGGCTGTCCTCCCTCACTGCAGCTTGCCTCCACCAGCAGGCTCCAGGCAGGAAGGCCAGGAAGGTTCCTTCTCTTCTCTCCTCCCAGGTAAACCAAGAAACTATGAGGTATGGGTGTCAAGCAATGACCCTTTGCCAGGCTACCTACCTGCGAGCCTCATGCCGAGAGAGTCAGGATGCTCATTCCTCAGGGAGGCTACTTTTAGTGCTCCGGTCTAAGACTGGTCTGAGGGGAGGGTTGGGGCTTTTAGTGGGCTGAGGTGCAAAACCCCAAGAGGCTTGAGGCTTAAGCTTTTAGATGCCATGTCAGCAATCTGTGGCCTTACCACTGTCATTTCACTTTGGAGGGCTTTAGTTCCTCATCTGCAAAATGATAATCAAGCTACCTTACCTGCCAAAGGACTGGGTGATTTCTGAAACCCTTTAGTCGTAGGACCTAACGTGACAGTGGGTTTATCTTGAAGGATAAATGCAGTAATCTGGAATGGTTGTTAGAAGCACGGGTTTGAGCATCAGTCAGCTGCAGGTTTAAATCTTGATTCTGCCACTTCCTGGCTGGGCAGGCTTGGGAATATTAAACTCTCTGAGCTTCAGTTTCCTTGTCTATAACACATGGTTAAGAACAGCGGGACCTCTGGTACTCCTGTGGTTGTTAGAGGTATAAATGACCTTGTGCCATAAAGTGCTGAGTAAGTGCTCAATCCTGGGGGTGGGGGAGGAGGGTACTGTTTGTTTTTAATTTAAGAAAATTGCATCGAGCTGACAAAAAAATCACATTAGAGGTGAGTTTGGGGGCATATGTAGTTTCCTATTCTGTGGTATAATGGGAAGAACATAGGTTTTGAATTCCGACAGTTTTGAGTGCGCTTCTGGGCTGCACAATTTACTGTGTGACTTCAGATAAGCTCCTTAACCCCTCGGTGCTTTCTTCCTGAAAAACGAAATTGGTGTGGGGCCAGTGTTTGATGCCTGCAATTATTCAATGCATTGGATGAATAAGTTGATCAACAATCATTTTTTAGAAAATTCTAAAAAAATAAAAAAAGAAAATTCTGTGTGACAGGTACGCTTCTAAGTGCTAGGGACACAGTGGTGAATAGTTTCAGAACTCACAGTCACCGTCTACAATAGGCTCTATTAATACCCCCATCTTAGGGACAAGTAAATCGAGGCCCAAGAGAGGCCCCAGTATCCTACCCGAGGTCACACAGGCAGCGATGACAAAATCCAGCAAAGTCGAGAACAGAAACCACAGGAACAGCTGACATCATCGGCCACGGGCCGTGTGCGAGCACGAGCCAAGTGCCAGGCACCTTACCGGAAGAGGCTTCCTTCACGGATTCTCACAGACAGCGGGTGAGGCGGGAACATCACCGCCGATGTTGCCGCGAGGAAACGGAAACCCCGAGGCTTCTTATAGGGATGCTGAGCCCAATCTAGAGCACCTCGCTGCTTTTTATGGACTCATCCTCCAATCGGAAGAGAAAACAGCCGAGCGGATGTGGCTCAAAAATGACTCCGGATCATCCCTTTCGTCTCTCCCTCCCTAGGTCCAGCGACAAAGCTAGCGCGTAGCGCCACCATGCGGCAGAAGGCGATATCGCTCTTCTTGTGCTACCTGCTGCTCTACACTTGCGGCGTGGTGGACGCAGGTAAGGATCCTGGGGCAAAGGGAGGACTTCGAGAGAAAGAAGGTGAAAGTTTTGGAACTCTTGGTTTAGAGATTCAGACGTGCCTCTGAACGAGAGGCGCTATTACAATGGACAGCACAGGCTTGTCATCGCCAGAATCCCAGATTTGAATCCTACTCTGTCAATTCCTCCATTCTATTGACATTTATTCAATGCCAGTTACATGCCAGGCACGACACCTTAGGAAAAAAAAGTCTCTTCCCTTTAGTGAGGCTCTCCCCAGTTCCTGGGCTGTTCCTGGGCATCAGGAACAGAGTAGGGGACTCTGTTCCCTGCTTCACTCTGCTTTGTTCGCTCTCCCGACAGGCAGAAGAAAAGACTCCAACGAGGACAGCGACTCTGGAATCTTGGGTGCCCTGACCTACGTGGCTGTCGGAGGAGGTGGGTCTGGGAGGCTGAAGCTCAGGAAGATGGGGCGGCCCAGGCCGTGGGCGCTGCCTCACCGCCTCCTCTTCCTCCAGGGCTCCTGGCCATGGCGCTGCCTGCTCTGGGCTTTACTGTCACCGGCATCGCTGGCAACTCATTGGCCGCCTCACTGATGAGCTGGTCCGCCGTGGCGAACGGGGGTGGCGTGCCCGCTGGAGGGTTGGTAGCCACGCTGCAGAGTTTGGGTGAGTCGGAGGCCCCGGGCCAGAGACACCAGGGCCACATGGCCTCCCTCTTTACTATTCTGAGTTCTTTCCCCAGGCTTACTCAGCTCTCTGAGGTGGGTATTCTTATAAACCCCATCACATAGTGGGTGAATTGAGGCACCCACTGATTCAGTAATTTACTCAAATTCTCCCAGCTGGCTTGCACTAGAGCTGGGATTCAAACCTAGTCAGTCTGATACTTTGCATTTAGCCTGGTGCCTCACAGATACTTTGACCAAGTCACAAGTCTGTTTTCTCATTTGTTAACCAGGACAATCATCTTCAATTTAACGTTTTATGAATCTGCTCAATCTCAGACACCCAGAGTGGCAGGACAACCCCATTCAATCTCGGACCAACCCTGGCCTCAACTTGTGTTTCTGGAACACCATGAAGGGAATAGATAGAGCTCAGAATGATCCTTCTAAAAAATGTACATTCATATCTATCTCTGTATCTCTCTCTCCCTCTCCTCTCCACTGTTTTCTTTTCCTTTTTCTTTCTCCCTCTTTCTCTCTGAGGGCTCCAACATCCTAAGGAAAAAACACCCCTGACAAACTGTCTCTCTGCCTTTCTGAAGCCTCCATCTTCTCTCCATTCTGGATAACAAAGCCCAAGGAACCAGCCTAAAAGAGCAGAGCCCTTTTCAGAGCGGGCAGAGGGGAAGACACAGACTAAGACATACCCCAGCAATGGGAAGTAAGGGGTGTGGGCTGGGCTAGGAACAACCTTGTGTTATAAGATGGTTTTTCTCCCTTACCTGTGAGTCCCCCAGCACCCACAGAGAGGTCCCCACAAAGGTAGCTGTTATTAGCATTATTAATAATACCATGTGTTCACTGCAGACGTGAAGAGAATGAGTTGTTGTTGTTTTTTTGTCTTTTTCATCTCTGAAACACAGCTCTGTTTTGAGGTGGCAAGTTGAGGGAGGGAGCTGATAGGATTCACTTTGCACAAGTCCTTTCCCCTCTCAGACTCTCTGTTTCTCCATCTGAAAAAGAAGAGGTTGGACTTGAGCAAAGGTTTCCAGATTTTTGGATTCCCAGGCCTGATACCTGGTCTACAAGTGGCCAACTATATTTGCTTTACAGGGGCTAGTGGTGGCAGTACCCTCATGGCCCAGATTGGTGGGTTTCTAGGCTACACCATCTACAAGCATCAAGAAAACAAGAGGGTGAAGGAGGAGGACTAGGAGTCAGAAGCTCCCAAGACACTCACCCCCTGCCCCACTTCTTCTAATTGAAGTCCAGAAGTTTCTCTGTTACACTTTTGAATGAGTTAAATGAAAAAGAAAATAAACTTCTCTCATAAAACACTTTTTCCTGTGAGTCGTCTTTGCTATGAGAAGCCCAGCAAGATCTGGCTCTGGTCTGCCTCATCCACACACCCCACTCTTCCTTCCCCCTAAAGCCAACCACAGTTCCTTGAATCCAACCAGCTGGTTTTGTCCCTGGGCCTTGGCATGTGCCATCCTTTCTGCCTAGAATGTCTCTCTGAAGCCCATAACCCAGCTCAGACACCCCGTCCTCTGGGACTCTTTCCCAGCTGAGCTCCTGTCCCTGTCACACTATGAATGCTCAGGCTGGATTCCACAGTGGCACTGGGGAGGAAGAGCTCAGCCTGTTCTCAATGAGAGAAGCTTCCAGCTACTTCTCTGATTAGGCAGAAACAGACACAAAACCTCCATTTTCTGAAGAAGAAACAGAGTAGTCTCCCTCTGATGGAGCCAGAAGGCCAGACTTTTGGCTTGGGGAAAGTGTGGAACAGCAGCTCTCAGAGGGCTCAGCAAGGCCTCCCTTCCCTCCAAGAACCCTGGGATAGGGCAGACAATCTGCACCTGGAGCATATCCCTTCGGAGTGGGAAGGGAAAGCCAACCGAAGTCCTTGGGGAGATGTGAAATTTGGGAGGCCTGTCCAGGGAAAGCAGAGTGCCAGGACCTAGGCAGGCCAAGGGCAAAGAGACCCTAGAAATCAAATGCCAGTAAAGGTAGGGCTGGTTCCATCACTAGTGGAAAGAGAATCATGCTGTGGTTCTGGTCTTTGAGCGGACACCAGTGTCAATGCCAGCCCATCCCCTGGAGAGGTCTGCACCCTTGTGTGACCCCTAAAACCTTGTCACAAAAGGGCCTCACTTACAATCCAGAAATTCTTCCATTATAAATGTCCATGAATGGCCCTGACCAGTGTGGCTCAGTTAGCTGGGCGTCATCCTGCAAAGCAAAATGTTGCCAGTTGGATTCCCAGTCAGGGCACAGGCCTGGGTTGTGGGTTTTGTCCCAGGTTAAGGCACATGTGAGAGACAGCCGATTGATGTTTCTCTCCCTCTCTTTCTCCTCCCCCTTCCCTTCTCTCTAAAAATAAATACATAAAATCTTTTTTTTTTTGTTTAAAAAAAAAAGGAAAACAAATGTGTATGGATGGGTGGGGAAGAGAGTCATCCGGCTTGCTCATGCCCCCAGGTCCAATGCCACCTCTGCAGATGGCGCTGGGTTGCTTCAGCTGGTTTGCCCTAGGCCCCCAGAGAAGCACTGTTTGTAGAAAAGGTGCATAAGTGGCACTGTCTTGCACCTCGAATACTGTCTCCATGGCTTGTAACCAAGAACAGAAGCTGGGCTGAGTCTCCTAACCTGATACTTACCATGCAAGCCTGAGCAGAGCCCTGCCGTGGCTAGGGCCGTTCATGGGGAGTGGGGGGAGTGATAGACTGGACTTTTGCCCCCAGAGAGAGGTAGAGTCTCATGTATTATACTCTGCTGAGGCCTATTCATTGCACCCCAATTTGTCTATTGGGTTGACATCCCAGAGACATAAGTGTGTGTCCTTCAGCCCCGTCACAGAGGGCTCTGTGCGTAAGTTATCTTTTCTCTAGTGCCTGGAATAGGCCTGGCACACAGAAGGTGCTCAATATATGTGGGCAGAATTGAACCAGAGGTTAGTCTCCACTCTCATCTACCTGTCCCTACATGTTCCCCAATCTTCATGGAAAGGAGTACCTGGATTCTTGTTCTTTCTTTGGGGTTCCCTTGATAATGCCCACTGTTACCACCATATGGATATAGGGGAGGGGGGCCTGTACCCCCTTTAACACCGTGGTCCAAATAAACACAGGCCCCTTACCTTTTACTCAATGTCCTCTGGCACAGATGAGTTTTCAAATGAGACAATGGAGCATAGTAGTTAGGGAAGTTCCCCTGGAGTCCCACAGACCTTGGTTCAATTCCTGCTTTGTGCCCTAGCACAAGTCTCTCCTCTCTGTGACTCAGTTTCCTCCTCTATAAACTGAGAATGATAATAACACCTACCTCTTGGGGGTTTTGTTATGAAATCAGATGAATTAATGAACAAAGAGAGTCTAGTATCATGCCCGGCACATAGTGAGCACTTTGCAAATGTCAGTTATTATTATGATTAGGGACTTGCATAAAACAAAAAAGAAATAGCCAAATGCCAACCAGGAATTAGGTCATCTAACTTTGGAGTCAGGATTTATTCTCTGGGGCTCACAGACCCTATTTTGCCTTCCCCCCTAGGGTGAGCATCCTCCATTTATTCCCTTGGCATCTTATTCGCTTGAATAGCATCAAGGCCAAAAAGAGATGGACAGCTTTACCCTGGATTTTAGATCTGGGGCCTCAGGAGTCCTCAGGCTAAATGACATTGAAGTGACTCATCTTCAAGGGGAGATTCCACCAACCACAAGGTCCCTTTGGGCATGTGCAGGAAACTCCTTGCCTTCTTTATTCTGTGGATATTTACTGGGCACTTTGTCTGTGCCAGGCACTGTGCCAAATGCTGAGGACATCACAGTGGAAGAGACCCATTTCTTACCTACTTGGAGCCCACAGTGCACAAACTTGGAGCCCCGAAAAGCACCCATGACCCCACTTCTCCCTCCCTGCCACCACTTCCTCATCCCCATCTCCTCTCACCTGCTCTGGCCCTTGTCAGCCTTCATAGATCACAATCGCCTTGTCTGCAAAGTACAGGCAGAATGACAAACACAGAACAGAATTCACTAATGCAACAAGTCAGGAGATGCTAATGCACTTTTAGACTCCTCCTTGGCACTGGCCTTCAGAAAAACACAGAGCTGAGTCCTGGCCCTGCTCCAGGGTTGGATGCCTCAGGCAGGTTACTTGTCCTCCCTGAGTCCCAGCTTCCTGGTTTTGTAAAAACCAGTAGGATTGAATGTCATATTCTCCAGGACACTTCCTATTCTAAAACTGCTGAGCCTGAAACATGTGCTTCTGAATCCCCCTGGCCCTGTCAGATCCCAGCCCTCTGAGAGTGGATTTTAATTTTGAAGCTGACAAAAGCCATCTTGTTGTCAACTTTGGTACTAAGGTGGGTGATGGTGCTGAGAGATGCCATGTTTGGTCACAAATGGGGGTGACTAGAAACTAGCAGGGCGGTTCCTCACTCTGAGGTCACACCCAAAGACAAGTCTGACAATAGTTCCCATGTCCGTGGCTGACTTGATGGAAAACAATGCTGAAGTCCTCTGTCCTCATCATTTCTCCCTGGACCTGTGTCCCAGACTATAAAATGGAGAAGGGGAGGAGCTGGAATCTCAACTAGACAAAGAATGCCTTTCATAAGTGCTCAAGTTAGAGCTGTCAAGCTCTTTAGTGAGATTCCTCTATCCAGGGGTTTCTTTTACTCTTTAAGATCCTCCCTAGGCCCTTGAAAGTCAGCTCAGCTGGCTGGCCTCCCACCATTCCATGGTGCTGTGTGCTGGTGTGGCCACCAGGTGACAGTACAATCCCATCCTGGAATCCTTAGCCTGCACCGTCCTTGAGCAGCTCCGCAATTACCAACAGCCCTCCCTGGGCCAGGCCCCATCATGGATGTTAGAGACTGAAATGAACCCAACCTTGTCCCTGCCTGCAGCAGGAGCTCCTGAAGCTCGAGAGAGCGGTCAGTCCCAAGGAACCCTGCAGGGCCTGCCCCCTCCTCTCTCTGTGATCTCCAAACTCCTGGGCCCGGCCTTTTGGACCCTTTACAAGTAGGTCTTCCTCCAGAGCCACAGCCTGTGCTTCTAGACCTGAGCCACAGGGATTAAAAGGAAATGAGAGAAGCACTTCACACATACACACACTTCACTCGGTTGGGCAGCAGAGGTGATGCTAGGCGCAAAGCATCCCTGGACCCAGCCTTGAAGGGCCTGGTCAATAGTAGCTGGAGGGAGCTGAAGCAAAGGAGGCCTGTGGCTTCCTGTGAAGAGCTGAAGAACCACTTCCTTTCAGCAGATGGCTGTGGGGGAGGGGTGAAGATTAGGAAGCATGGGCCTTCTGGCCCAGGGAAAAAGGTAGGGGACCCCAGGAAGGCCTCATGAATGAGGCCCCATGAAGAGGCCCAGAGCACCTTCTTGTTCCCTTCCCTCTGGAGCCTACATGGAGCAGACAGTACAGACAGGCAGGGACACACCCCTCCCATGTGCTGTGAAGCCACAGAAAAGAGAGTGGAGTTAGAGGCAGGCTCATTCGTATAAGGCCAGTAAAGAAACGGAGCTTTTGGTTACTCTAAGAAGCAAGCCCAAGCTCCTAGCCCCAAGTACCCATCCATCCTGAGAACACAGCCCCAGAGACCCAGCCCCAACTTCCCAGCTCCAAGCACCAGCTCCCAGTGGGGCGTCCAGTGCCCAGACAGAGGTTGTCAGGGCCCAGCGGCTCTTCCACTGCAGGGGGAGTGGCCCTGTAGGAGGACTTGTCCCAAGTCATTCTCCCAGAATGTATTTACTGGACTCTCTTTCCCTGTAACCAGCAATAAGGGAAATGCCAGCCCAACCATGATGAATAATCGCAAAATCCAAATCGGTACAATTTTACTGCTTTTGTTCTATTTGTACATACTTGTGTGTCCAGGATGGTACCCAGCCCCCACTCACCTATACTGCCCATCCGATGGAGACCCAGATCTCCCCAGCAGGGATAGAAGCAGGTCAAGGCCAGGGAGGCCTATAGAAACTAGCCCTAGGCAGGAGCCAGGGGCTTGATTTGGGGCTCACAACCCCTTAGCCTCGCTGTGTGATTTTGTCTGGGCCTCCGCCTAGCATCTCTCTGGCCGGTGGACAGCCCTTGCCTGCCTCCTTCAAGGGGTAGTTGTGAGCAGAAGGACAGAGCACCCATAGCCTACCAGGAGCACAGCGTGTTTCAGCAGCTCCAGGTGCCGACCTGAGGAAGAGGCAGAGGGTCTTCATTCAGCCACTATTACTCACCCATTCTCTTGGAACTCATCAACTCAAGCCCATTATTCCCTCAATCCTCCCCACTTCAGGCAAAGGCATCTTCTGGCATGCAGGTACCCAA